CCGGCTCTGACCGTGCCTCTGTCCCACAGGGGCCAGGTGGCCTTCATCACCGGCGGCGGCTCTGGCATCGGCTTCCGCATCGCCGAGATCTTCATGAGGTGCGGGAGCCCCTGCGGTGGGACGGCCCCTTCCTTCTCTCCCTCCTTCCCTTCTTCTTTCCCCTGTTCCCTTCTTCTCTTTCCCCCTCTTCCCTTCTTTCTCTTCACCCCCCTTCTCTTCTCTTTCCCACCGTCCCATCCCTTTCCCCGCCGCGGTACCAGAGCCGGGAAGAGCCGCGAGGAGAAGCCGAGGGCGGCAGAGCCCTCACGGAGGCTCCGGGGGCCCGGCTCTGGCTCTCCCCATCCGCATCCCGCGGGCCTGGAGCAGCAGCGATTCCTGCAAGGAACAGCCGAACTCCTGGTGATCCCGAGGTGCTGGGGAGGAGCCCGGCCCTTCTCACCTGCCCCTTCCCTGCAGGCACGGCTGCCGGACCGTCATTGCCAGCAGGAACCTGCAGAGAGTGTCTGAGGTGAGCCCGGGCTCCAGCGGGAGAGCTGCCAGCCCCGGAAACCCTTCTGCTGTCTCCCGCTGGAACCGGGAGCCCTGGGAATGGTGCAGGAAGGAGGAATGGCTTCCCAGTGCTTCCCACCCTCCCAGCCCTGGGCACCTCCGGCACAGCTCGGTTAACTTGGAACCTGCTTTGCAGGGGCTGTTGCACTATCATGATGGCTTTTTGTGGGGGAGAGAGACAGAAGTGAGCTGTGGGGGAGGTTTGTCAGCAGGGCAGAGGCCAAGGCTGGACTGAAACCTCAGTGTGGAGTAGGAGCAGACCCCAGGGGCTGGTGGCTCGAGGCGGGTTGCACAATTGCCCCTGTGTTTTGGGGCAGAGGAGAGGGTGCAGGTGTGGTTGGCTGTCATTTTCCACTCCCTCATGCTCACGTGCCAGAAGAAGCTGCAAAGCTCAGCAGGTTTTTAATCCTCAGGGGCCAGAGTCTTCTGGGGCCACAGAATCTGCAGTCCAGGACTACAGCTACTCGTGCACCCGTGTGTTGCTGGGGCTGAAAACCTCTCACAGAGCTCAGAACAGAAGTTGGAGCAGTTTTGAGTGTTGTGTGGAGTTCCTGCTGAGCTTGTGTGTCCCCTGTGCTTAATTTTCTGGGGAAAATCTTTCACTTAATGAGCCATAGGGATGTCTTGTGACAAACCCTGGGCTGCAGAGCTGGTCCGTCTCACAGCCTGACACCTGGCTGCAGTCTTTGCCCTTTTGCCCACTGACTTTTGGGATCTAAAGGGCAATTATGCCTGGGCTCATGCCAAAAATGCCTTTCTGGTCTCCAGCCTTTGTACTTGCCCTGCAGGGATGTTGCTTGGGATGTGCTGTGTCTGTGGCAGCCCATGCAGGTAACTGGGCTTAGCCAGTTGTGGCCAGCCCAGTAACCAGTGTGGCTGGGATACAACATGTAGGACTTTCTCTGGCTACTCCAGGGCTAGCAGGGTGCAGCCAGGTTCTCTCAAGTCTCTTTTTGTTCTTTCAGGCTTCGAAAAAGCTGGTGGCAGCCACAGGGCAGCAGTGCCTGCCCCTGTCCATCGATGTCCGGCAGCCTCAGACCATCGTGGCGGCGGTGGATGAGGCGCTGAAGGAGTTTAAGAGGATTGACATCCTCATTAATGGTGAGGATGGAGAGGGCAGGAGGAGGGATTTGGCTCACTGCTGGGCAGTGTTTTCCTGCAGAAGCATTCCTGGGAGCACAGACAAAGCAGGGATCTGTGTGTGGTACATGGCCATCCCTGTTTGTCTGGCTGTGGATCATCCCTGCTCCCCTCGTGCCGGCTGTGCTGCTGGGCATGCAGAGCCACCAGTTTATCCCTTAGCAGGGCTGTCTCCACGTGCTCTCCAGCCTGCAGACATTATCCCTCACCCTTCCTGGCACACAAGGGCCCTGACATCTCTGCCAGCCCTGTCCTGCCTGTCCCTGTGCTTCAGGTGCTGCGGGGAACTTCCTGTGCCCAGCCAGTGCCCTGTCCTTCAACGCCTTCAAGACAGTGATAGACATCGACACCATGGGCACCTTCAACACCTCCAAAGTCCTCTTTGAGAAATATTTCCGGGTAAGGGGCACGGAGCCAGGGGACTCTGAGGAGGCTCTGATAGGTGGGGGTAGTGTCAAACCACACTGTGCTCCTGGGGAAATCAGGGGAGTGCAAGGACCCAGAACCTCCCTGCACAGATCCACTCTGTTTCTTGCCAGGGATCCCAGCCCCGAACTGGGGATCTTCCTGTCCCTTGCCCTGGGGCTCTGTGTGTTGCAGCACCTTTCCATTCTCTGCCACCTGCAGAAGCTGTGATCTCCTGCTCCTTTTCCAGCTCTGCCACTTTCCCTCAGCCATTCCTCCTACCCTGCATGTCCCACCTCTCCAGCAGGGCCTCTCTGGCTGCCCCCCCTCTGAGATTCAGTGGGTAGAGCTGCCCCAGTGATGGCTTGGCAGTGCCTTTGGGTGCCTGTCCCTCTGATCCCAGCTCTCCTGTCCCTCAGAGCCCTCTGTGACCCTTTGTGCTGCTCCCTGTCTTAACTCCACATCTCCTTTCCTTCCCCAGGACCACGGTGGGGTCATCGTTAACATCACGGCGACCCTGAGCTACCGAGGGCAGGCCCTGCAGGTGCACGCTGGGGCTGCCAAGGCTGCCATAGGTACCTCAACACACCTTGCTGGGGCTCTGAGCCACGTGGGCCTGGGAGAGAAGCCAGTTCTTCCTAACTGCTGGGATGGGAAGGTGCCTTGGGGAGGGACGAGCGTGAATCGGTGTGGTTACTGCATGCCTGGGTTTGGGATGAGGCTCTTCTCCCCTGCAGGGCCCTTAGGTCTCAGCCAGACTCTTCTGTGGCTTTTTTTTGTCCCTGAAAAGAAGTTTCTGGAATGGCTCTGCTCCCTGTTTCTCAGTGCTGTTGCAATCCCTCCCCAGATGCCATGACCCGTCACCTCGCTGTGGAGTGGGGACCCAACAACATCCGTGTGAACAGCCTGGCCCCCGGGCCCATCGCGGGCACCGAGGGCTTCCGGCGCCTGGGTGAGGCAGCCTGGGCTGTGCCCTGCCGTGGCACTGCCCTGCTGGCATTCTCTGGGAGGGGACAGGGAGGGACCCCCAGTGCCACACAGCTCGTGGGGGCATGGCTGTGCTGTGGCTTGGCTGGCACAGCTCTGTGGGAGCAGCCCTTCCCACATCCTTGGCACCTTCCAGGGCACTGGTTTGGCAGCAGTTTGGGCTCTCTGATGCCATGATGGAATGTGCTCCCACAAACTCAGCACTGCCTGAGGGATTTGCTCTTGTAGCCCATCAGCAGAGTGTTGGTGCAGCTCCAGAGGATGGGAGAGACCTGGAGCTCTTAGAGTGGTCCAGAGGCCATGGAAATGCTCCAAGGGCTGGAGCCCTCTGCTCTGGAGCCACGGAGACCTCAGAGCCCCTTCCAGGGCATAAAGGGGCTCCAGGAGAGCTGCAGAGGGACTGGGGACAAGGGATGGAGGGACAGGACACAGGGAATGGCTCCCACTGCCAGAGGGCAGGGATGGATGGGATATTGGGAAGGAATTGTTCCCTGGGAGGGTGGGCAGGCCCTGGCACAGGGTGCTCAGAGCAGCTGGGGCTGCCCCTGGATCCCTGCAAGTGTCCAAGGCCAGGCTGGATGGGGCCTGGAGCAGCCTGGGATAGTGGAAGGGGAGGAGAAGGAGAGATCCCTCCCAACTGCAAGCATTCCACGATTCCATGATTCTGCAGCTCTCTGAGGTCCTGTCTTGAGCTCACTATGTCAGTACAAAATCCCTGCTAGGCTTGAGCTCCCCTCCTTTAAATCTTCCTGGGGTTTTATCCCAGGGCTGTGCCAGGATCTCATCTCAGTTCCCTGGAGCACTCAGCCAGCCCCTTGGGCAGTGCTGCAGTGCCTGGCCAGCCATGGTGGTGGACAGTCCTCCCATGGTCCAAACTGACTCTTTCCTGCTCCTTTTAGGTGGGAAATTTGCTGAGAAATCCAACCAGTTCTCCGTGATCCCGCTGCAGCGCGCGGGGAACAAGACGGAGATCGCGCACAGCACCCTGTACCTGGCCAGCCCCCTCTCGTCCTACGTCACCGGCACCACCCTGGTCGTGGATGGTGGGAGCTGGCTCACCTCCCCCAACAGCTTCTCTGCCTTGCTGGGTATTGCCTCCTCCTCTGCTAAACTCTAGGTGACTGCATTTCCCACTCGTGGGATTGGAGCAGGGCTCCTCAGGGAAACCCTGCTTTCCCCTGGGGTACAGGGCACAGGTCCTGTGAGGAGAGGCTGAGGGAGCTGGGAAAGGGGCTCAGCCTGGGGAAAAGGAGGCTCAGGGGGCCCTTCTGGCTCTACACAACTCCCTGACAGGAGGGGACAGCTGGGGAGGTCGGGCTCTGATCCCAGGGAACAGGGACAGGACATGGGGAAATGTTCTCAAGTGCCAGGAGAGGTTTAGGTTGGATATTAGAGAACATTTCTTTATGGGAAGGCGGTCAGGCACTGGCACAGCTGCCCAAGGCAGTGGTGGATTCACCATCCCTGGGGGGATGAAAGCTCTGTGGATGTGGCACTTGGGGACATGTTTCAGTGGTGGCCTTGGCAGTGATGTGGGAACAGTTGGATTTGTTGGTGTTAGAGGGCTTTTCCAACTTAAACAATGATTCTTAACCATGACTCTCCTGGGGCATGGCTGCAGTAGCAGTGGGTACAGTGTCCTCATGGACAGTCCTAGGGATGACTTGGGACAAGCAGAACCTGCTGGGTTTTCCCTTTGAGCCTGGCTTGTGACATGGTGTCTTTTGGATGATCATCCAGACACCTTTGAGATTCCCCCAAAGCAACTTGCTGCCCATTTCCTGTGCCCCAGCAGCAGGATTGAGCACAAAGAATGCCAAGAGCCTCTTCCTTTCATGAATTCCTGCAGCCTGGTGGGGGAAGGGGTCTCCTACCTTCCTCTCCTCCCTGCCTGTGTCCCACCTGGCAGCCTCCATGAGCTGGGCAGGCCCCAGCAGGGCTCTGTCCCCACCTCCACCCTCTCTTGCAGATGTCTGGGCTGCAGGAGCAAACCAGCCCCACTGATGGACAGCCTGGGGCTGACAGATGGACACCACGGGGGACATCTCCCAGAGCCAGTGCCAACAGCCACAGCCTCTCCTCGGCCACTGGGGGTAGTGGTGGCACTGCCAGTCCTGTGTCTGCCTGGGGGACAGCACTGAGGGTGCTGGGTGCCACTGCCACCCCCATCCTGTGCCACTGCTGCCTTCTGAGCTGCTGTGCCTGTGGGTGCAGAGACAGTGTGGAGGGCTGAGATGGTCACTGTCCTTTTGTGGCTCCCTCCAGGCTGCTCTTGTGGCCTTTCCCAAGCTCCAAGCAGTGCCAGCCATGGATACCAATCCTCTTACTCCCCTCTCCCCTGTCTTAGCTTGAGAGCTGCCCAGGACCCCAGCTCCCTTTTGGGAGGGGGAGCAGCTGTGAGCCTGGGGTCAGGCCCAGTTCTGCCTTGGCAACTCTTGGAGGGGAAACCCTGGCAGGGGGAGGTGGCTGTGTCCCCTAAGGGGTCCTGGGTGGGACAATGGTCCCGGGATGCAGCTGGGATGCAGCTGGGATGCCCCTCTCCTGGGAGCAGAGGTGGTGTGAGGGCAGATCCCCCAGGGCAGGGTCTCCCAGCAGCACTGCAGGTGTCCAGTGGTCTGTCCACACCCATCTGTCTGTCACACCGGTGTCACACCGTCTCCTTCAAGACACTCAAGCTGAGGGTAAGTGAAGGGCTAGAACTGGAATCCAGTGCTTTCCTCCTGCTGGGCTGCAGGAGCCACAGCAGGGCTGCACGGATGGCACTGCTGGAGCCAGCCTTGCCCCTGCTGATGGCTCATGTGCACCCTCCTGCTGCTGCTGCTGGTAGTTTTTAGGCTCACCCTGAATTCCATGAAGCTTGTTCTCCCACTTAATTGTATTTCCTACTTGATTGTAGACTTGCCATGTTTTACACCTTCCTGCAGGCCACAAATAAAGAACTTGTCCCCTGAGCAGTGATGCCTCTCTCTGCTGCATGAGCACCGGTGCCCTGCCCAGCTGACTGGTCCCAGTGGTCCAAACTGGGCCCTGAGGAAGGGGGGAGAGCCACTGCTCCCACTGCCAGAGCCTTGTGTGGCTCCAGTCTCGGCTCTGTGGTGCTCCATGCCCACGAGGCTTGGGGACCTGCCAGCTCCTCAGCCCCAGGGGCTCTGGGAAGGTGGTGCCAGAGGTGGTGGGGAGGTGTTGGGGGCTTTGGTGAGGGATTCCGCCCTGCAGAGGGATGGGGATGCAGTGCCTGGGCTGGGATCTGGGTGGTGTCCTTTGCCTGGGCTCCTGGGATTTGGCTCCAGCCACAGCATTCCTTTTCCTGGATTACAGGATGTTTTCTCCTGGAGAAGGTATTTGTGTGATGTGTGGTGGCCCTTCTGCCCAGCTCATCCCCGTTCTGGGAGGCTCCATGGGTTTCACTGTTCAGTCATGACCGGGTGACTTGGGCACTGTCAGGGCTGTCCTGACTCTGTGACCACCCCAGGAAGAGGGAGCTGAGCTTGGCCTCCAGCACCAGGGGAAGGACAGAGCACCCAGCCAAGCCTTGGCATGGCCTGGAGCTGTAGGAACCCAACCAGGGCCGCAGAGCTGCCACTCACAGCATCAGGCCAGCACCTCCAGACCTGCAGGCACCTTGTTCCCCTGCCAGTCCCGTTCACACAGGAACCCTGGCTGCTTGAGCTGTTTGGGAACTGGGAATGCCCAGGGGATTTTGCAGGGAATGGTTTGGGCAGGTGTCACCGTGTAGCTGTGCTTCCCCCTGTGGGACTGACAAAGGAGCCCCCTCCTGCCCTGCTCACCTTTAGGTGATGTGATGAGGAAAAGGATTTGGAGTGGAGGTTTCCATCCTTCCCAGTGCTGGACTGACTGGGCAGGGGTGTCATCCTCTCTGGGGGATGCTGCTGAACTCTGGCTCTCGGGGCTGAGTGTGCTGGGGAACAGAGACCTTATGGCTCAACCAGGCTGACCCTGAGGTGTCACACACCTCCATGGCCCAGGCAGGGCCACTGGGGCCAGGGATGCTCTTGCTCATCAAGTTTGCTGCTAATTATACCCGGGGGCTGTAATTCCACCCACTGGGCCAGCTCAGGGGTGTGTTAGTGGGGTCATCCCAGTGCTCCAGCAGAAGCTGCAGGTGTTCTGAGCCTGCAGGCTGTGAGCCCTAAGCACGGGCATTCATTAACTCATTGCCGTGGTCCCAGGGCTGTCCCTGTGCTCAGCTTGTCCCTGGAGCAGCTCAGGGATCCCGGTGCACTGTCCCACTGGGGCTGGGGGTCCTGCAGCACGGCTCATGTCCCCGGAGGGATTTGAGTGTCCCAGTGCACAGTTCATACCCAAAGGGATTTGGGATTCTGGTGCACAGTTCATACCTGGAGCAGCTGGGTGGTTCTGTTGCAGGGTTCTCCCCCAGAGGGATTTGGGGTCCCGGAGCACGGTTCGGCTTTAGGGTCCTGGACCGTGGTTTGGGTTTGGGGTCCGGAGCACGGTTCGGGTTTGGGGCCCCGGAGCACGGTTGGGGTCCCGGAGCACGGTTCGGGTTTGGGGTCCCGGAGCACGGTTGGGGTCCCGGAGCACGGTTTGGGGCCCCGGAGCACGGTTCGGGTTTGGGGT